ATTTTTTTTTTGTATTTTTGGTATTTAATGAATTTTTAAAAGATTTTTTTTACAATATTTTTACTTTTTAGGTGTATTTATGTTAGGTGTGTCTAAAAAGTAAAAAAATTGATAAAAATATTAAAGAAATTCAGTAAAAACAAAAAAATATTTAAAATAAAAAAATATTTTTTTTTAATTTTTTAATATTTAAAAAATATATTTAAAATATTAAAAAAATACAACACATAAATGTATGAAATATAGTGCACATTAAAATAAATAAATAAATAAATATTTAAAATATAAAATATTTACCCTAAAAAAATAAAATTAAGAAATTTTTTAAATATTTAAAAAAGATAAATTCAAAAAATTTCAAAATACAACTTAAAACTCTTTTCAAAACTCATAATTCAAAACACAACTCTACACTCAAATCATGATTCTAAAAATAATTTTAAAACAAAATAAAAAAATATTTTTAAAATATTTTTCTTTTAAAATAGAGTTTTGAAAAGAGTTTGGTTTTGAGTTTTGAATTGAGTTTTGAGTTGTGTGTTTGGTTATGAGTTTTGAAAAGAGTTTTGAAATTTTTTGATTGGAATTGTGATTCCAAAAGAGAACCACCAAACATGGCCTGAAATTTTCTTGAATCTAATTTTTCTAATACGGTTGTCAAAAGCTTGATAATAATATATGTATATTCTCTTGAAGATGACCATCTTGATTTGGGACATGTTTATGAAATTATTGGCTTAGTTTAGTTCCATTTGTATTGAGTTTCATCTTACTTTTATGTCCCAGGTAATCACAGGATTCGAACCAAAAGAGCGATGTTTGCTTCTTAAGTTTGTAACAAGTTGTTCTCGAGCTCCTTTACTTGGGTTCAAGTACTTGCAGCCAACCTTTACCATTCATAAGGTATCACCTTTGATTTTACATCTTTGTTGGACAAAAGAACCGAGTGTTCACTAAAATCTTCTTAGTCAATTATATCATTCTTGTTTCTAGTTTCATGAATTGTTTTTTAAAATGATTTCTGTTGTGTACTTCTCTGAACATCAAAATGTCAGATTTTATTGGATACTTATGTCATATCTATTTGTGAATATGTTTCTTGAATATAATCTTAGTGTTGATTATGCTATGATCACTGCTAAAATACAATGTATTATTGTTCAATGAGCATGGACGGAAGTGTGTAAAAGAATTGACAGACAACAACCAACTGTATAAAGTTTATGGCTCATGTTATACCTAGGTTAACGAGTGTAATTCTTGCTCTTGTTTCCGTTAGATTGTTTATGCAAATATACTTGCATAAATGTATCTATGTATGTTATTAAACAAAAAGAGAGGGTAAATATGAGAGAGTTAGCTGTTTAGAGATATAAGAAATTTTAGGAACATACATATGTACATTGGGGCAATGTTGGGCTTGGGGTGCGGTTGGGGATTCCAGGTTGTGGCCTCTGTGTTCCCTGCCCAAAATTGCAAAATCACTGTGATTGGTTATGTGATTTGGAGGTATACAACGGAAAGTTATCCAAACCATAGGTGTTTTGTATTTTTTCACCCCGGGAAGGGGGGGTTGGGATTAACCAAAAAGAAATAGCAGCCTCCCATGAATCCTTTCACAGTTACTGCAAAACACTATTATGTCTCAGGGCTCTTTCAGCCTCGGTTCCTTTCATACTGAATTAGTGGTGGGAAATTGGAATTCAAGGTGCAGCCACTACTCAGACTAGTTACTTGGATTCTTTGGGTGCCAAATAATTGTCTTTTTAACATTGAAATTAATTGGTGATTACTAGTCCTCTCTCCCGCTTCATATGTTTTGTTTCTATTAAGATCCCATTTACCAGCTATGTTTTCCTTTCTTCTTTATGATTGTTAGTCATAAGAAGGAAATTATATACTGAATTAGGAATTTGAAATGATATAGGTTGCATGCGATGTGCCGCTTTGGGCAACATTTGGAGGGCAGGATGTGGACCGGCTTCCATCAGCTTCTACATGCTACAATACTCTCAAGGTACTGTCTCTGCTTCTCATCAATTTAACTTGCAAAGATCAGACCCAAAATGACTTTTTAGGCTAATATTCATCTCTTTCATCTGACTCAGTAATCGTGTGCTTGTTTTCTCTCTCCTAAATTTATTGATGGATACAGCTTCCAACATATAAACGGGCAAGCACTTTGAGAGCCAAGCTTCTATATGCTATCAATTCTAATGCAGGATTTGAACTTTCATAGAAATCCTGAAAACTTACTTCTTCAGGTAAGTTTCACCTTTCTCCAAGCTTAACCCTGTATTGGATTCTAGACTATGCCAATGATGGAAAAGCAGTACTTCGTCAGATAAATAGATTAAGCTGCACAAAAGTTTTGAAATGCATTGACAATTTAAATTAAGAATTAGGTTCAATATGCCCTTCTTTTTTTTTTCTCTTAAATTTTTTTAAAATTTTTAATTTTTAATTTTTTTTTTTTTTTAATGTTTTATTTTTATGTCTTTGTTCTTTTCCAAATCATACTTAACGACAAAGTTTGGAAATAGAACTTTGGAAATAGAACTTTAAAATAATCCATGGCACGTTTCTTTGCAAAATGGTAATTGCTAGAGAATGAACCACACATTAATCATAATACAGCCATAATTTTTTTCCCCCCCCATCAAAGCAAAAAATAGGAGAAACACACGTTGACCCTCTCCTCATACCCAATGTTTACAAACATAATACCATGAGAAACTAACACTCAAAACAACTAAATTCACCCAAACCACCTATAAATTTCTCATAGCAACTGTTATTATGTACAAGTAGATGATAGAAGTGGAAACTAGAGGATTGTTTCAACTGTATAGTGTACAGTTCAAGAGACAAGGGAGATTCCCTGTTCAAGAAGAGCTGATGCTAAGACTTGGTTAGCTGCTTCAGAGGGATGAAAACCATCCCAAAACACATACTGTGTAGCATTTGAGCATGTCCCTACAGACCTGGCATTGCAAAGCATGGATGTTTCAATTGTACCCGTCCCACAGCAAGCCCTCCTTGATTCAAAGAACCCTAAGAATATGGTTGTGCATGAAATTTGAATCAGTTTACCTCGTTATTTTGGGTGTGTGCATGTGAATGTTTGTGTGTGTCTGTGTTGAGAGAGACAGAATGAGAGAGAATTCTTGTATAGGTGAAGATATATGAATCAAACATAAATACAACTTTGAAACAGTAACACTTTCTGGGAAGTAAAAAACATTTCAGAAGATCTTGATTCACATACTTTTGATTTGTTCAAAACCTGAAGGCAGCACAGTAGAAATCTCTCATAGGTTTTGGGATAGATTTACTGATTCGATGAGTAAAAATTGATTACTTATCTCCCTCCTCACACGTACACAGAAGAGAGAGATATCAATGCTTGCTTTGTTTCGGCAAAAAATGTTTTTTGGAAAATGTTTTTTGCATTTGCATTTTTTGGCGATTAGTATGATAGAAAATGAAAGTCAATGGAGAACATTTTATATGGTCAACAAAAAACAAGCTCATTTGAGTGGAAAGTATTTTTCACTTTTGAAAGGTGGAAAACATTTTCCAATCTAGAATCTTATTAATGCTACCACACTAGTGCTACCATCATCACCCCCACCATTACCACCTTCCACCCAGTGTTATCAGAGGCGCGCCTAAGCGCTAAGCGAGAGGTGAGGCTGTAGCGCTTCATGCACACTGAGGCGAGGCGAAATGGTGAGGCGAAGGAGAAGCGCATGAAGCGAGGCTTAGGCGATGAAGCGAGAGGCGAAACGAAGTGACGCTTCACCAGATTTTTGCCTGATTTCAGTTCGAATCATCTGGGCCCTTCATTTGGATGACTTTTGTGCAATTTATGGGCATGCGTTGCACTTTATAATTGCTTTCTACTAAATAAGAAGTCGAAACCCTAAGTCGACTTCGTTCAAGTCGACATTGAAAGGCATATCCAAAGTCGACTTCACTTGGGTCTTCTTCTTCCTTCTTCCGACGTCGTTTCAGTCGATTATTAGAGATGAGTTCTTGCTCTTCTTCTTCTTCTTCTTCTTCTTCTTCTTCCTTTCTCCTTTCTTCCCTTCGTCCTCTCTCTCCTGCTGCCGTTGATTCTTCTTCTTCCTTTCTTCATTTTTTTTTTTGTCTTCAAGAACACTGTCCTTCCTTTTTTCATTTTTTTCTTCGTCTTCAAGAACACTGTCGGATCCCCCCTCCTTTTTTTTCTTGGTTATTTTAATTTGTTTAATTATTTTTCTATGTTATTTTACAATTATTTTGCTATGTTAATTGTGTAATTATTTTGCTGAAAAAATTTCAATTAATTTTGTTGAAAAATTTCAGTTATTTTGCTGAAATTTTAATTATTTTGCTGAATTTTTTTTAATTATTTTGCTGAAATTTTAATTATTTTGCTGAAAAAATTTCAATTAATTTTGTTGAAAAATTTCAATTATTTTGCTGCTAAAAATATGTTTTTTAATTTCTTTATGCTGAAACATTGAATTGCTTGTTGGATAGAATTAGATGTCGAAGTCGAGTGAAAGTAAAAAAGATCTGGCATGGCAATATGCACGGATGGTAAATCCCAAAAACCTTGTTTATGGATATTTAGTATTTGGAATGATAACTGCATGATGGTTCTTGAAAATATTTATATTTTTGTCTATACCATTTATTTAAAAAAAATATCTTTTCTGGTCGCCTCAATTTGATGAAGCCCTCGCCTCACCTTATCGCCTCGCGCTTAGACACTAGGAGACCTTGTTGTCTCGGTTCGCTTTTCGCCTTAAAAAACACCGCTTCCACCACCCCACCCCACCCCACCCCACTATGACGACCATTACCATCTCTACCACCACCCCACCACCGCTACCTCCACCACCATCCCAGCCCCACTAACTTCATCACTAATACAACCACTAGCTTATTAGTTTCAAGCTCTATTATCAACATCTTATGATTTGCAATTCGATTCGCAATTTTCGCAAAATCAATACGAATCTATGGGTGAATCTATTTTGGAAGTAAATCTCTAGTGAATCGCACGATTAACAATCGATTCACTTTTTACGATTTATGCAATTCTTGAAACTATCGTGTCCGACATATCTTCAATTCTTTTTTTCTTCATCTTTTTTGTAAAAATGACATACTACAACTTTTAATAGCGGTTAATGCCAAAATAACCAATATATATACATGATTTGTTGTTATTTTAGTGATCATGGAGTTTTTAATAGGATTCAATAAGATTCAACATGTTTTTAATATTTCTTCTCATTTTTTTTTTTATTTCTTTTTTTTAATATTTAAAAATCATAATGTATCTTCTAAAAACGTTTAAGATTAAAGTAACTTATACCATGAATTATCTATTGCTATTTTATTAAATTAAATATAGTTGAATATTACATAGGTGAGGTCAGTTATACATTTTAAAATGTTTTATGCTTTAAAATAAAAGATCCTAAATAATTCTTTCTTATTATTTGGTCATTGTTATTTGAAAAAGTGTGTATACTTATTATCTAAATGTCAATATCATTGTCAAATTATTGTTACTTTGAAAATTGGAAGTTTGTGTTTGTTTACTGTCTTTTATTAAGAATAGTTGATAATAAATATCTAAAAAAGAAAAAAGGTTAGATAGTGATCTCACTCACATAGAAACATTTGTTAACTTATTACCTATAAACTACGTGATCATCATTCGAAACAACATTTCATTGATTTAAGTCTAAATATTTTATATTTATAAGATATATGTAACATCCAAGTGTGTATATATAATTTTCTCAGTAATTTAGAAAAAGTGACCGAATCTTTACGATTCACAATTCGATTCGATTCGCGATTCAGTACGAGGCCATTTCGATTCACGATTCGAATCTCAATTTGACAACTATAGTTTCAAGGTGGCAACCAAGCAAAAGATTTATATATATTGTTTGTGGAAAAAAAATTTCTGTTGGAAAATGTTTTCCTCTGAAATAAATGGACCACAAATGTTTATTACTTTTTCATGACAAAATAATTGGCTAAATAATGTGGAAAAATAGGCTCATACCGCTATCAGTGGGTTCATGACCAGGTCAGCAGAGGCGGGTAGATTATCAAGGACACAAGTTGAGACCAGGGAGCCTGTTCTGCAAGCCTTGGGATGTGCTGTTTAGCTGCTTGTTGAAGGAAATGGCATCTTGGTTCAGCCTCGCAACGCACTGGTTACTCCCCGACCCAAACATTGTGATGGCTGCTGGCAAGCATCCAGTTGGTGGTAATGTTGTCACTCCGATCTTCCTTATGCCCAGGCCATACAGATTCTATCACAAGGTAATGTTGATATGAAATATGTTCATGATGTTCCTTAAAATGCGTATCTTTGAAGTTTGTATATGGTCAAGCTTTGTATTAAAATTCTCAAAAACTACTAATCCACATTGCGATTTAAAAACATATGCTACTACTTGAGTGATTTTGTAATTAAAAATCAACATCCTAATTACTTTTTGTGTCTAATTTAGTTTCATCTCATATTTTCGTATATCTGTTTTGTATTAATAGTACTATCAATTATATCTACAGCATCATTAACTATACATCTATGTATGTGTATATGTGCTATTTCAGTGGAGATCATGAAATAGAACCTGGACAAAAGTAGAGTAGGATCTGATGAGAAGGTTGGAGAACCGATCAGGGGTGTAGGCTCTGTTGAGTATGGGGTTGATGTAGTAGTTTTGAATGAAGTCACTGCTTCCTGCACTCAGGAGGTGGATTCCACCTGAGAACATGACATTGGCACTGTCTTTTCCTACCATCGTCACTACTTTGTTTTGGTATTCCTTGTAGTATGCTAGCTGCTGGGTGAGTGAAATAGCACGCTACAAAAACCAAACAAGTTGCACAACCCGTAAACACACACACACACACACACATATATATAGAGAGAGAATTAAGTTGTGTGATTACTTACATAGAACTGTGCTGTGCTGTCATAATAACCAGAACCAGCTGAGGCAAAGTTGGCACCGGTCAAGAGGTTCGTCCCTTGGGCATCCTGGCTAAGGTAAGCTGGAGGGTAGGAGGTGAACCCGAGGTACTTGGCTGTGCACAAAGAGGACATTAAGAAACACACACACACACACAGATGAGAGAGAGAGAGAGAGAGAGAGAGAGAGAGATGGGTTATTGGAGAAATATTATACCGGTGAAGTCTGTGGCAAGCTTTCCATTGCAGAACCGCCCAGTAGGTTTGTGGGTAACAAAGTCCCTACCATAAGGAGGGAAGTTAGCCTTGAGGAGTGTGTTAAGGTTATTGTTGTTCCCCACATCAACTACAGAGTCCCCAAAGATGCACAATATGGGAACTAGAGGGTCCCCATGAGCCACTAAGAGAACCATAGCTACAGCAAGAAAGATACTCAAGAGACTACTAGGAAACCCCATAGTCGTTTCCCTTGCTCCAACAGTGAAACTCACCAGGAGAGAGAGAGAGAGAGAGAGGATCAGGGAGTGAATGAAAGTGAAGGGACAGGTGGGGAGAATTTATTTAAGGAGAGAGCTCTTGCAAGTAACAATAATTTTATGTACACAGAATAAATCACAGAGATAAAAAATAATCCTGGTCATACATAACAGATGGTGGGATCTGCTATCAAAGAGGCAGTTTCACTCGTATTGTTTTACGTGTGGTTCTATGTTCATAGACTTATTGTGCAAGTAATGGCCAAAGTGAAATAATTTCTGGGTGAGGAGGTTAGGGTTTTATTAAAGTTGCACATTGTCAGGAGGGAGGAGGCATTTTTAGCACCTTTAAATGTGGTGATAGATGTCCACATTATTGTTAGGCTAAAGTAAAGTGCTTTCTAAATTTGTCCCAATGTTGTCTGTTGTGAGATGAGAAGGCATGTTTAGTTCCTCTTAAAGGTGGTGATATATGTCCTATTATTGTTAGGATGACAAATAAAGAGCCTTTTTGAATTTGTCCCACGCTTGTTTGTTTGTTTTTGAATGGTGACAAAGGACTTGGTTAGAACCTTAGCCAATTTAAGAGAGCTTGAAGAAAAAAAAAGTAGGGTGCTTTGTAAAGCTATTCCAAAAGTGCAACTAACAAAGAAATACACAAAACAGAACACAGACACTTGCAATTTTGTGATTGATTTTTGTACTAGTAGGCTGTTAGATAGCTATTCACATTGTGCACAATGCATCACCAATTGATTGTGTAAGCATCACAATGGTCTGTTACAGAAATTTATTGATTATATCATAAATTCTTACTATCAAAAACCATAACCGAACTATTACAAAAAATGAATGAACAAAATAATTACATATGCAAATATGCAAATTAAAATGTAGTAGAAAAATTTAGCTTGTGAATTTGGGAGGCTGACAAGTCATTTTCCTAAAGCTATTATTATTGTTTTATGCAAAAAATATTAACTACTCCAATGCTCAACTCATATCACTGTCATGCCTCCAATATGAAGAATCGCATATGATCAAAGTTGTCCATAAAATGAGAGAGAGAGAGTGTTGTAGAGTCCTAAGGTATTTTGATAGACTTTGATAGTGACTATTCATGAAAGTCACAACTATCAATGTTGTAGTTTGTTTATAAAAAGACGTCTTTCCTAAGGAGCAGCAACATTTAGGAAGTTTAAAAATTCTCATACTTCCAACATGCTCATGCAATTATATGCTAATAGTGAGGTGTGTAATTTTCATATTCATGGAGGTCACAACCAAGGAAATTATGTATTTACTTTTCGTTTACGAATTTAAGATTCAAACATAGCATAAGTAATCCAAGACTTTGCACCGTGAAAATCCAAAACTAAGGTCTTGTTTGGCAAGTAGCTGTTTTAGCCTAGAAGCCAAAAAGTTACTAAAAGAATCAAAAAGCCTATAACATATACCAAAAAGTCAAACATTTCATTTTCTCCCTACTTTTTGCACATCTTTTCGTAAAAAGTCAAAAAGTCACCCCAAACATACTAGTTTTTTTACCTCATATTTTGGCCAAAAACTCAAAAAAGTTACTAAAATAACTTGTTCCCAAACGAGGCGTAAGAAATAAAGTCTGGTTTTAATTTAGGACATACAAAATATTACTTCTATTCCAACTTAATTCATTCATAAAATATAACTTAATGGCATTAGTCACGTCTCTGTATAATAGCCCTCGCTGTTTGTTGCACTTTTTTGAGGATTCGAAATATCGTAGATATCTAGTCTACTCTTAGGGGAAGCGGGAGTTGCTAAGCGTTGTTAGCTGGTGAACCTGCAATGGGTAGTAGATGATGTATATATAGGAATAACTTGAGCATTTCCAACCAAAAAAAAAAAATATTGCCAAATTGATGTATAGCATTTAATATTGTTGACAACCTCAACTGCTTCTTATTAACTTTGGTTTCATTTAGATAAGTAAGAAATTTGAAAAAAAAGAATTTGAGGTAAATCTTTATTGAATTACCAGGAGGTCAGTAGAGGGGTCCAAATGAGTGGCATTTGTAATTAACTCTGGTGTCTCCACATTGAATTGTGAGAATGAAGTCATCACCAACACTCTTTATGAAACCTTACTGATACCCTTGAAGATGTGCTTTGAAATATGGTGTCACTGTCAGTGTCTTTAAAAACACACTGCTGCAGTGCAAACTTGAGGCTCTGTTGTGCAGGGGTTGGAGTTAATTCACCTCTTCATGTGGAGAAGTGGTGGTCCTTGGCATTTGCTATTTTAAGTCTTAATTTGAATGTGATTGATTTATACAGTGAAATTTGTTACTTTTTGTGTTAATATTTGGAAGACTGCGCGAGATTTCAATTTGTGATTGTCGTGGACCCAATGCTCAGGTGCATTTAATAATTTTTCTTTCATGTGGTATGCGTTGTGTATCTCTCAGGGTTAAAGATCCTCTGTGCCAAATCTCTCTATCCTCCCACTTTAATGCAATCGTAATCATTAGATTATATAAAAATTTTAAAACATGTGAATATTAAGATATGATTTTATGATTCAATAATTAAGAATATATGGCGATTTAGGGATAGAGAAGTCAGCCCTGTTAAGGTTGAATATGTGGTCAGAAATATGGTCCTAATTATTTTGGAATTTTCCACTTTTGAGACTTCAGCAGTATCAGGTTGTTGAATATAGAATAGTTTGGATTCCACAATTCACAGTGGCCATGCTTTGAGAAGCATTAGTGAGCACATTTTCTGGTGTGTTTGCATTTTAAATTTACGAAGAGATTTGTGTAGGAACGAAAAAAAAAAAAAAATTTGGTGAAAAAAACAACTTTTGTTTCATTCCGTTTGTCTTAATCATTCTTCAAATTCACAATTCAAACATAGTCTTTGTGTTAAACAAATGTGCAAAAAGTCAATTTCATAGACAATAAATAGTGATATTTAACACTATCATCTCTCTTCTAAGCCAGTACACCAACCATTCAACCATTTCTTTTAAGCTGTATTTAAATCATGAATTTAAGTATGAATTTGAAAAATGAAATGAAAAAAATGAGGGAAATACAAAAAAAAAAAAAAAAAAAAAAAAAAAAAAAGCAGCTTATATTTTATTCACATTTTTTTTAACCTTTTTCAGATCTTTACTAAAATTCATGATCTAAAGGCAATCTTAAATTTCTACCTAACTCCAAATGTTATAAATGTGTGGATTTGTGAAGAAAAAATAAATGAAAAAGTGGAATAAAAATAGCTTCCACTTTATTGACTTTTGTCGTCTTCTTTTTTTGTTTCTTTAAAAATCTCTCCTTAAATTCTTGATTTAAAAACAATTTTAAAATTTTAATTTTGTCCTCTTAAGATATGTTTGGATTTTAAATTTAGAGATGAATATGTGGACAAAATAGAAGAAATGGGGAAAAATTAAATAAATTATAAATTAAATTATTTTCACAAATGGCTTTATTTTTCCTTTTTCTCTACAAATTTATTTATAAACCTAAAATCCAAACAGACTTTTTTAAAGTATGCGATTCCCAAAACAGCACCTCAAGCTGCGACATAGGTCCAAATTTCGACCAACTGCATGTAGACTCGAACCGCACTATGTTTAAAATTTATTGGGCTTGAACCAGGCAGCTACTGTGGGATTTTGTCATGGCTGGCCCAAATTACAAGTTTTTGGAGAAAACCTAATAGGGAAGGGGGAATGGTTAAAAAGTGAATTCGTGCCTGAGACTAGTGTTTGGGAGGGAAAAATGTACCCAACTTCATTTCTGAGAGGCCGTTCAATGAGATCTAAGTTGTTAAGTGAGTATGTTCCATGCGTTATTGATGAGGGTTCGAATCTGTTTTCGTTTGTCCAGTTCATACACTTAAAGGACTGCTTTGTGCATTTTGAATATACCTTCGTGTAGTGGATCCAAAAGGTATTACTTCACACAGATTCTCAATTATCCACAAAATTATACACAATTTTACTTTTATTTTTTGAATCGTTGTTTCCGTTTCTTGAACCCGTACCACCAAGAAGTTACAACAGTGATTAGTAGCTCTAAAAGCTAAAAGTAGAGTTCTAAACAGAGCTCTATTGAACTGACAACAACAACAACAACAAAAAAAAAAGCCAAAATATCACATCAAGTAAGGACTTACACAGTTGTCACGTCATTAGAGCAGCTCTAGAACTCTTGCTCTGAAACATTTTTCAAGAAGTTAATAAAAAATTATACTAAAGAAAGCAATCAATGGAACACTCGAAATCCATAAATCAACTGGAGAAACGTGCACTACCATTTCAAATCAAACTGTGTGCATATATATTGTGCTTCATAGATAGGATTGTAAAAAATAAAAAATGAGCAAAACATTTCATGGTGTAGTGGGCAAAAGGGGGTCAACAAGTTGAGAATTCCTTTGATTTCCCTTCAAACACGAAAGAATCCAGTAAACAAACCCTGCAGTAAAGAAGCCAAAAAACCAAGCATTGTTATAAATCACCACAAATGAATCCGGGATCGTCGTGAGAATCCCAACATTCTGCAAAAAACCTGGCACTACTGGCAAAATCCCAACCACCAGAGCTGCCATCGCTGCCAAATTATACCCATTTGAGTAATAGTATGCCCCACGAGGACTCAACGAATACAAATCCTCAACACTCAAATTGGTTTGCCTAATAACATAGTAATCTGCTAAAATTATGCCCCCAATTGGACCCAACAATGCGGAGTAACCGACAAGCCATGTGTAGACAAAGCTCTCACTTGACTTAAGTAGCCTCCAAGGCTGGCAAGCAATGCCAAGCAATGCTGTTAAAATTGCCCCTCTTCTGAATGTGAAATTTGAAGGGCTGAGATTGACCAAGGCATTAGCAGGGGCCACAACATTGGCAGCAATGTTGGTCGTGATGGTCGCCAAACTAATTCCAAAAATTGATAAAATTTTCGTTGAGAAACCTCCAATTTGACCCAGGAGTTGAATTGGGTTGGAGATCACGTGCCCGAAAATCACCTCAGTAGATGCGGTCACGGCCAGGCCAACGAATGTGAATAACCCCATGAACATTGGGAGCCCCACCTGACCCACAATTTGATCGGTTTGGGTCTTGGCGTATCGGGTGAAATCAGGGATGTTAAGGGCTAGAGTAGCCCAAAAACTTATGTTGGCTGTGAGGGATGGGAAAAAAACTGCCCAAAATTGTGAAGAGGAAAGTTTGGAGGAGAGTGAGAGCATGTGGCCAAAGCCACCAGCGTTAACATAGGCCCAAATGAGGAGGCAAGAGGTGAGAATTATGAGGATTGGAGCAGAGTATTTTTCAAGTTTCCGAATACCTTCCATGCCTTTCCACACTATTGTCAATTGGGCAAACCAAAAGACTAGAAAACAAGTGAATTCAAGTGGAGAAGTGCCAAGCCAAGGTAGGTTTTGGGTCAAAGATGATGTGTCCGTGATGCATTTGGGCAAAAGTAGGAAAATTGCCTCACCACCAATCCAGGTCTCAATACCATACCATCCACAACCAACCAATGCCCTAAGGAGGGTTGGGATGTGGGCCCCACGGACCCCAAACGACGACCGGGCGAGGACCGGGAATGAGATGCCGTAGCGGGTTCCGGGTTGGCCGGTGAGGACTAGTGGGACTAGTAAGATTATGTTGGCAGCAACAACAGTGGCAATTCCTTGCCACCATGACATGCCAAGGTCAACTAGGCTGCCTGCTAGGTAGTATGATGGAACACCCACAACAAGCCCAACCCATAGGCTAGCCAATTCCCACCAGGAAAAGGTCCGTTGATCCGGCGTCGTCGGCTTGAGGTCATCGTTGGTGAGGGTTGGATCGGACTCGAATTCATCGAATTCTAGGTTGGGCTTGGATTGGATTGATGATGCCATGGGTGGAAAAAGTTGACATCTTTTGTGAAGGGTTTGGTTTTGGGTGATGGGTATTTTGGTAGTTATGGTAATTGGATTGAGGAGAGTGGTGGTGAATGAAGAATTGGGTCTTGATTTTGGAAAGATTGAAGAGGAGAGAGAGTGGTGGGGATTGGGATGGGGATGGAGATGGAGGGTGAAACAGTTGTACACCATGATGATTGATACAAAAAAGGAGATTCAGATGGGTATGGAATCTGAGGAATCTATGTTTAAGGCTTCGGGGATAGATGATGAGTGGTGGGTAACGTATATAATTTTCATGTCGCTTTCAGCTGTAGAAATATTATAATAGATTCCACAAAGTCTACAATTGACCAATGACATGTGATGGGTGTGCATTGGATCTTGAGCTATATCTTAGCTAATGGATCATGAAGCATTTTTTTCAAAAGCTCTTAACTAATCCAAATAATGATAATAAAAAAGGAGGTTTGGATTTGGTTAAAATTTTGTCATAATAAAATTTTAATGCATTAAGAGTAAGTATAAATTTTTTTTTTTAAAAAGTCCAATAAATATCATTATTATCAAAATATTAAATTTTAAAATAATATAACTTTTAAGGTTGATGTCAGTTTTTAATAAAATTAATATTTTTAGAATTCTCTTATCAAGATCTATCAAATAAGATTTATATTGACTATGAATTTTTTTAAAAAAATAAATAAATTATTACCATTGAAATTGATGTAAACAGTAACATGGTACTGTAGACGTCCCCGAACGCTCCGGGAGGGAAATCCCGTTTTGTTCATTTGGGGCTCACTACAGTTCGGACTCAAATTGTCACGGTTCTTAATCTGATCTCACAATGTGCGATGTGAGATTGATAAATCACCAAAGAATCCAGATCCGGCAAATCGTTTTGAAAATAGATTTTTTAGAAAGAAGTGCCAAACATGGACAGTTTTGCTAGATACAGAGTCGCCACCTAAATATTTTATTTTGGGAGAATTTAAGAAACCCTGACTCGTTTGCCTAAGGCCACGTGTCCGTCATCACCAAAGTTGCCTCGGCTCGGGAACTTGGGTACGATTAGGGAAGGTCACTTCGTGAGCACCCCCGCTCGTCCGATCAAAGATTGGCCTCTACTAACTATGATATCGAGTTTTGAAAACATATGTGCTCTTATTCCGGTTATTAGCCTAAAATTACTATGTGATGCACACAGCATACAAGTATAGACTAGATCGCCTAAGTTGGAACAAAGTATCGCATATCCGTCTATTTTGAAAATGGTTTGAAATTTGCTACTCGCAAGTAGGCTAAAAATACGGGTTTCGACGAATCATTTCAATTCAAGCAACCCAACCTTGACCCACAAGCATTCAGGCAGTTATATCATATAAGCACATAGCCTCATGGTAAGCATGATGTCATGTTAACACTTACACGCATGCAAGATGCTAAAGCATAAACACTCACAGTGTACTCCAAGCCAAAACAAGAAACTAATTAGTAATCATGCATGATCCTAATTCATGTTAGCAATGGCTAATGCAACGCATGTAAAATACAGCTAAGATAGGCTTGGCTACCCTAAGAATGACATGTGAAATGTAGCAACTCGATACACATATTCAAGTTGGAATTAAAACACAATGCAGTTAGCATGATGCGCCGAGCCCGGTGCATGCAAAACAGATGAATAATGCAAACATGCGAGCATAAGTATGCTAATTGAAACGTGTCCTAAACTAACCATTAAAAGCTAGTAAATAAAAGGGAGAAAGATGTGGGGTTGAAAGACATACATCATACGCACACACACTTATTACAACATTGCCCTCTCGCAGAGGGTCCGAATAAATAATACAAAACAAATAAATAATTAACTACTCTAACTAATTAAATATTACAAAATCCTAAATTAATTAACAAATTAGTTACAAAGGGAGGCCGCTGTAGCCCCGCCTCGGAATGCTTGGATGATGCATGCTCGATTTGTTTTGCTCGGAAACCCGTTGCCATGCCTCTGTTGCCTCTGTTTGCATTGTTCTGCACCTCTAAGAACTGCGAAAATACTTGTGATGCTTCTAGAACACTCCTATAGCACTTTGGGATGTCACCGGCCATAATTCAAGTCCATCGGCCACTGGAATACAGTTATCGACCAAAAGTAGGACCACCGGCTAGACTTTGGTAGCCGGCTTGCACTAAAAGTGGCCGTCCGGCCATTTCTTCCTGCAGAGCACTGGTTTTGCTGCAGCAGAGGACAGACAGTGCATGGCAAAGCATTTTCAAGACAATGTGTGCATAGCCACTCTCCCTATCATGTAATGAACTCAAGGGAGTATGGCCCTCGGTTCTCAGGCCACTAATTACGTATTTCGATGCATGATGGCCAAAGGTACCAAGTTTGCAAATCAATGTAAATGAATACAACAAAACAAATGAATGCTACACACTCTATCATGTTGAGATCAAGAGTGTCGGCGACCGAGGATTGAGACGTGTTTCGTCACTTTAAGTACGAACACACGTCATTCCTCATGTTTGATTTGACACCCCAAACCAAACATAATGCAATGCATGTATGCGATATGGCTCAAATATGCAATGTGGCTCAAATATGCAATGTGGCTCAAGTATGCAATATGAGGCTAAGTTAGCAAAGCACGCCAAATGCAATGCAACCTACACATGCAAATGTACAATGTGCTAAGCATGCAAGATGCAATGCAATGCGATGCGATCTAACATGTAAGCTAAGCTAATGTAACAAGAACATGCAAACATGATATAATGCAAGCATATAACGAGATGCAACATGATGCAACATACCAAACATGCAACTATGTACAAGGATGGACTTAAACCGAAATGGGAGGACCTCAGCCAATCCCAAATCAGTGGCCATATGATAAAAATGAGACAACCGAAATACATGCAAACATGCACGAATGCAAAGAGCCGATCCTAAGGCACAACATGCAACTCTAACAAAGCATGGCAAATGATGAAATATGGCATAGAATGGCACATGATCCAGCTCTGAAATATGATGCACAATGGTCCCGAATCATGCAAATACTTCACACGATGCATGCTAGATGGCCCGAATACCGAAACTAGTGAAGTGCGTTACACTAGAGGTATACAAAGCAATGCACAAATGGCAAAACAAACCCCAAATAGACCCAAGGCAGGTCCAAGATAGTGGGAAATTGGTCTAAAATGATGGATCGGAATGCATTCAAATGAAGCCCATGCAATGGTCGGTAAATGAGGCATACAAGCCCGACTCTCTAATGCACTTAAAAACTGAAAATCATGGGAATATGGCATGCATATAAGCTCTGAAATATGATGTGCAATGGCCCCAAAACATGAAAACACCTCAATATATGCATGCGATGGACCTCAAAACTCAAAGTTAAGCATGGATATTGAACTACAGGCATGCAAAACAAGCATCATTTGACCATGAGACCCAAAAATAGAGCTAAGGTAGTCTAAAACATGCACAAAATCAGTTTAAGGCAAAGCCAAAATATGCTAGGAAAGGCGGCCAAAATATCATGCAAAACAAGCTAGTGAACCATGACTTACACTACAACTATATGAAGCATGTGAAGGACTACTAAACCAGTCAAAAACAGAAACATGGCATGCCAAAATATGACCAAAAACCCATTGGAACTCAGTCAACACATGCTAGAATGAGGTGCTCCTTTGAAAGGCTATGCAAAGGGTTACTCTACACATCCAAGATGGACATTCAATATGACAAAACCACCTCTGGAAAGAGGTTATGAAGGCCCTAAAACTCACTGAAAATGGCTTGAAATGAGGCTAGGAAGCATGCAAGTAAAGGCTCATTTGAAAGGCCATGAAGAGGGTTACTCTACACGTGCAAGAAGGACACCTAATATGGCAAAAAAAGCTCTGGAAAGAGCTCATGTAGGTCCTAAAACTCATCAAAAATGGCCTGAAACATGGCTTGGAAACATTCAAATAGGGGCTCATTTGTAAGGCCAAAAAAGCTAGTAAACAAGACAAAGGGGGAGAGGGTCACCCCTCTCTGATTTTGATTCTCAAAATAGCATGCTAGCCACTGAAAATCCACTGGATTTCAGTGGCTAAAAGGTTAAACAAAGCACAACACAAAGGCCTTAGTGCATAACTCAAAACAAGATGAAAACAAGCATGCAAGGGGGTAGATGACCCCCAATGAAAAAATGACCTTAAACAAACTTGTTAAGAAGCTCAAAATAATACTTTTTTCAGTTTATGCCAAAGCCCAAATATGCTTGCAAATATAGCTAAGATATGAAGCAAAATAAGGATCAAAAGGGGGATAAGAGAGTTACCCTTGTAGCCAAGAAAGACAGCAGCTTCTGGACCAAGAAAGTGGCTTCTCAACCTCTGAAAATAAACTCCAAGGTGCTTAGATGGATGATGGAGAGGTTAGGCTAAGAGGTGTAGTGCAAAGGGGCTAAGAACCTAGCACTTTTGGGACCAAAATAGAGATGTATGGAGATAGGTGTATGTATGCCTTGGTCAAAAAATCTGAACCTTGGCTCATGAGAGAGAGGCTCCCTCTTATAGAAGAGGAGGTCCATAGCTTCTCTAAGAAGCTTGGAGCAAAGAGGCCAAGCTTCTAAAGGAAGGTAAACCAAAAGGGTCAAGCTTCTTGAAGAAGCTAGACCAAAGGAGTCAAGCTTCCTCAAGAAGCTCAACAAAAGGTCAAGCTTCTCTTAGAAGCTAAGCAAAAGGGACCAAATTTCTTTAAGAAGCCAAAATAAGAGGGTCAATCCTCGGAGGATAGGGCAAATGCCTCATAGCTGGCACAGCTGGATAGCACTCAAAAAGACAAAAAAGTAGAAGGCTGGCCAACCAGTTCAAGTGGTCGGCTGAGCACTTGCCCTGGTCGGCCGACCAGGGGTCAAAAGGTTCAAGTTGAAAAGGTGGTCGGCCTACCCATATTGGTGGTCTCCCAAGTGAATGCAACTCAATGGTGGTATGGGAGACCAGAAATTGTGGCTCAAAAGTGAGGGAGACCACTTACTTGTCAAGAAAAATCGGTCGACCGGGGAAAGGTGGTCTCCAAGAAGAAAAGGTGGTCTCCCACCCTACTACCACCTTCCTAACAATGAAACTAGGGTCCATGTCAAAAATGAACCCACACTGATGCGAAACGAAGGTTCGGGGGCCAAAACGCGCAACCGGAGGCCCCGAAAACTGACTATTAAGCATCGAAAGTGGCGTGCGACCACGAAGGTGGTCTCCCGGGCCACAGCGTCCCTCTAAGGAGAGGAAACAAGGCGTGTGCCAAAAACCGGAGCAAACGGAGGTAGTTAAGCGGTCCCGAACAGAGGCACACGGCCGACGGCTCCGAAAATCGAAAACTGGTCTCGAAACGAGAAAAATGACCTACGACCACGAAACGTAACCTACGGCCATTGAGAGATGGTCTACGAGACCTCTTCCTCCCTTCAGGAAGAGAAAATAGAGAAAACATGACCTAGTTCGCAAACCGAGGCAAGGCACGAAAAGGTTCCGAAGCCCGGAGGCAAGACTCTCAGCTAAGACTTTGCACCTCAGAACGAGCATAATATGCAACATCATCGAGCGCTTAGTTGGTGACATCTGAGTCTTAAGGTCGGTCAAAAATGGGGTGTCTACAAGTACTTTATTTGATAGTAACATGTTACTCTATCTTACAGTAACATGTTACTTTGTTTGACAATTACTCTATTTGACAATAACATATTATTCTGGTTCACAGTAATATGTTACTCTGGTAATATTATCCAAGATAGAAAAAAACAAAAGAAGATATTTTACTTTGTTCTTACTCAATTATGTGTTTTCTCTTTACGGGGTTTATGAAAAAATAAATTGAGCTGTCATTTTCACCAAATAAAGGTCCAATTGAGAGGTTTTTCAAAAAAAATTGAAAAAAAATCTGCTAAATACCCAAAAGAAAAGTTTATTTTTTTGACTTATGAATTTTTTTGACTTTTGAGATTCTTTTACATTAGATGGACCATAAAAGTAAAAAAAATTGACACAAATTTTAAAAATATCACTAAAAATAAATAATAATAAAATGACTTTTGTAGTTGGATGCTAAACCACGCCTAAAAATACAAGGGGAAATTACTCATAGGTCCCATGGGAAACATGTGATCTCCATTTAATCCCATAACTTTTTCACTACACCCAAAAGTCCTTTCCTCTCTCTCTTTGCTTTTTGCTTCCCTTCCTCTCTCGTTTTTTTTTTTCTACATTTTTCTGTCACCGTGTTTGTCATGGAAGAGGACCACCGGTGATCATATCTTTCTCCATTGATCGGGGTTCATTGATAACCACCAAGCATTGAAATCAACTCCGACGAAGAAGATGATATATTTTCCGACGAAGAAGATGAATGGATCTATTTAGATCTGATATAGATCTACTCAGATTTACATCAGATCTGAGTAGATCTACACAGATTTGGTTAGACATCCGTCTTTCCCCTTCGATCTCTTTTTTTCTTTTTTTCTCTCTCTGCTATACACTTCTGTTTTTCTGTTCTAATGGAGAAAATTTTCGAATTCTGAACAAGCAGTTTTCGAGTTTTAGTTACAGGCAGTGAAAACTGTAAAATTTTGCAGTTTTATAACATTCTTTAGAACTGTAAAATTTTACAGTTTCATAACATGTTTTTTAATTTTTTTTTTCCGGCAATATTCTAGACATTCCGGTGAGTCTCCGGCGACCGTTAAACGGAAGTCCGACGGTAGTAAGATGTGAACAGTGTCTATAATTAAAAAAAAAAAAAGGATTTTTTGGTAACAATTAAAAATGTGTTGGACTAATTGGTGCAAGTATTTTGTTTTGGGATTAGTTGGGTTTTGAACTTGTTACATGGGACTTATCAGTAAGTTCCCCAAAATACAAAATGAAGCGGGATTTACATATCATCCACAGTGGGCTTGAAAGATTCAAGTTATTGGGCTTGTCCTGGGCTTTGACACTATGTTATATCTCTTTCATAAGGCAAAAATTGATTGGGCTTGCCCTGGGCCTACATTTTGTCTGAGCAAACATGGGCATTGCTTTTTTATTTTTTAATAATCGATCCATGCATAACGCAATAGGACTTGATCTCTAGGATAATTTCCTTACAATAGTGATTTGAGAGCCGAAAATGTAATCATTAAGTAAATTGAGGATGGTTTAATATTGCAATGATTGTGTTTTGAGTTGTTAACTCAACATTGTATTATTGTTTGAGTGAATTATTGCAGATTTTTTTTTTGAACTCCGTAAATTATTGCAGATTAGTTTAATATTGTAACCATACGATTTCATGATATTTGTTTTTATAATATATTTTTTAAATCATATTTGTTGGCTATTACTTTAGTGAAAAATTAGTTGATTATGTTTGTCATATCAATTTAATTTATAAATGATTTAAACTTATGTGTGTAAAATATGAATGGAGCATATAATCAAATAGTCTCTACAGTTGGCAAAAAAATCGAATTGAACAGTTCAATCTATTAACAGTACTGTAGACAAAGTGTAGTGAACTCTCTCTCTCTCTAGTTTGAGAGCTTCTCTCTCTAAACTTTTCTCCCCCTAGAGTTTCCCGAATTGGTGGCTGCTGGTGGTGGGGGAGGGGTTTCCGACGGCCTTCGGCCTCCTCTCCCCTCCTCCTACCCCTCTTTTGCTCTTCCTTTCCTCTTTTGCTTTCCCTAAACTTGGAAGCTTTGCCTTCCATTCTCTTCCTCCTTTGTGAGGTGTTTTCCCCCACCCATTCACTCCGGGAGTGGCCTTCTCAGATCTAGGCCGTCACCGCTTCTGTACCACTGTCTTCTCCATAACCACCGCCTTCTCTTCCTCCCTCCTTTGATCGATTCTGCCTCCTTCTCCATAACCACCGCCTTCTCTTCCTCCCTCCTTTGCCGACGCTGGATTCGCCTCAACCACCTCCTTCACCGACTCTTCTCGGTCGCCTCTTCCTCGCCGGTCTTCTCCATCGCCGGATCTGCAGATGCTGCTGCCAGATCTGCTTGGTTGTGGGTTTTTCTAGTTTGGTTTTATTTTTGTTTGTGTTTGTTTTTTCTTTCACTGGTTTGTGTTGTTTCTGGGTTTGTTTGGTTCTTAGAGTCCATCTGTACGTATTTGTCTAGCTTACTCTCATTGTAGTTGGATCTATGATTTGTTTCGGACATGCTCTATTGTCGAACTTTTATGATCGACTCTGCATCGCAGTACGAGCACGAGTACGTTATGTACGTCTGAATATTTTCGTAGTTTTCTTCCTGGGTGCTTCTTGCATTATTTTTTCTTTGTTTGGTGTAAGTTTTTGGGTTATATGGACTCTTGTAAATGCCGTTTTGGCTCTATTAATTGAAATATCTCTTTTGATCAAAAAAAAAAAAAATAGTACTATAGACAGGCCCATCCAAAATGTGTCAATAAAATATTTGCCATGCAACCATTATACTATTGAATATAATTGATTTATAGAATGAATCCCCCTTTAAGAAATGATGATCTCACCAAATTTGTGAGTATATTTAAGATTATTAGTGTATTTAGTATTCAATATGTATATATCAAAATCACCATATGCATGTGTCTGTAATGTGCTAAAAACTCTGAAACGCTACAAATTTGATGCCAACAAAACACTACACATATGCTACAAGAGGGTTGGTAAGTTATCCACCATCCATTAAATGACACAAAGAGGGTTGATGACATCAACTCAATTTTCTTGCAAAATCAGATGAATATCTATCACCTAACTCCAATAGGCTATGCCCCAAGAACATGCCATCTGTCCTAATATGTGCCCTAATTTTTCTTTTTTTCTTGGGTAGGTCCTTAAACATCTCCTCTTCTTCCACTTGTCTCCAGAGTCTTGCACCTCTTGGCTTCCATGAGAAAGTGCCACGTGTACTTACACGTTATTCAACTTCAAAGCCAATCAAGTCGCTGTTTTATCGGGAGGACCTTAGAACATACTTGTTTTTGTAGTGATCCCCATATTTGTTCTTTGTCTTTTCAGTTTGTTGAAATGATAGACTCTGTATAACTAGAATGTATACATTGTTTTCATTTCATTTACACCCTTGAAACATCTAATTAGGTTAATCCAAAGACTATCTACTATTGAAATGTGTAAACTGGAAATGACATAAAAGTTCTTTTTCCTATTCTCCTCATAAAAACTCACCAAAGTGGGGGGTATTAGCAAAAATATTTCAGCTTTATTATAACACAAATCAAATATAAAATAGAACACAGAATATACATAGATGAATAAAATTGTATATAATATTATACATCCCATATACATTATTGTCTAAGTTTGTGGTCATGACTTATTCAAGAGATTTTGAATAACAGAGGAGGGGGGTTGGAATTTGGGAGAACTACCCATCAGTAGTAGTTAGAAATTTTCTCACTAAAGTGTAATAATTTTTGAAAACCCTCTGAATGATAATTTTTCCTTAAAAAAAAGTCAAAATGGAAATTTTGAAGATAATTAGGCCCTTAAAAATAAAAATAAAAACATATAAACTTTATTTATATGAGAAGATCTTCATTTCTTTCTTATTTAATATCACAAGACTCCCAACACATAGAATAGAACAACTACATATATATATATACATCAAACAAGCCATCTATCAAAATCTCCATATATATATAAATCCAAAAGATCACAGAGATACCTTCAATCCAAGAGAGAGCTTTTCCACAGATGATCATAAGCCATGGATGGCATGGACCCAACAACACGCAAATCCTCCAAATCAGTCTTCACTCCCCTCCTCATCTCCATGCTAGGCATAGCCTGCACATCTCTTGCCTTAATCCTCTACCACTTCATAGTCAGGTACATCACAAGCCAAAGACGACAACAACAGCAACAAACCACCTCCACGCCACCACATATCCTCCCCGGAGGTCCACTGACCTCCGGAGTTGACCCCAACGTCCTCAACAAGATCCCCATCCTCTTCTATTCCGCCCAGACTTACGACCTATTTCGTTCTGACAATGATTGTCAGAACGAATGCGCGGTCTGCCTGGGCGAGTTAGAGGAGGGCGAAATGGTCCGTCTGATGCCCAATTGCAAGCATGCGTTTCACGTGACTTGCGTTGATCAGTGGTTTGTGGGACATGCCAGCTGTCCCCTTTGCCGAGCCCCTATCGTCGCGCCACGTGTTGTTGATGGAGAAGAAGATGATGATAGTAATGAGGTCATCAGAGCTTCGTTTGGCGATGGAGTAAATGGAGTTGTTGGTGGTGATGGTGAAGGTGTTAATGGTTCTACGATTTCTGTATCGCATTCGTGCGGATTGCTTCGCCATTGTGCATCAATGGAGGTGCCTGTGGAGAGATTTGAACCGGGTTTGAAGCGATCATTGTCGATGGATCAATCTTTTGTTGTTGTTGATATACAAAGAAAGAGTGAGAGAGCTTGTTCGTCCTCATCGTCATCAACATCTTCTTCTTCTGAAATTGATGTTACGAGGACAACAACGTACGTGGATCGATCGATGAAGCATTTGGATCGTGTGTCGTCCAAGTTTTTTGGGTCTTTTTCGCGACGTAATCCAAATCTTCTTCCCTACTGACGTTTTTTTTTTTTTTTTTAAATTAAGTTGATGGAGAGTTGTGTGAAGATGAATTATGTTTATTTAGTGGGGATATCAAATCAGTGGTATTTTCTAAAAATAATTACAAATCAGCGGTAAATTTTAGGGCAAATTACATTAATCGTCTTTACATTTTACTCTTTGTGTCATTTTGGTTTTTAAATTTTCAATTGGCTCAAATTTGACTTTTAATTTTAGATTTTGTGTTAAATTAGTCTAATTGATAATGCTTGTAGTGTTTTTGACAGAAATTATCATTGAATTTAAAAAACCCTATGTGATTCGTGATTCAAAATAGATTTAATTACTATAAATCCCAAGCACACAAAACAAATAATGTAAATCATCTAGCACATACAAAAGCGACTTAGCTTGTAGTTCACAATTGATAAATCAACACAAAAGATTTAACGTGGAAAAAATTATAATTAGAGCACCTTCAAGTGTGATTAAAAATCATGGACTAAAAGCCACTAATCAATCAATTATGAAGATATTGAAATTATACAAGAATACAATCAATTACTCAACACACTCTAGAATTGTCATCCACTCATTGTGCCTCTTTCATCAACACCTTCGCCACGGAATTGATTAGTTTGGTGTTGAATCACCAACTATTAGCCGCTTCGAACTTCAAAGCATCCAAGCTCAAACCTTTCGGAATCCACCGATGAAAGCTCTAAGTAGGTTAAATAGTAACAAGCCCCTTAATATGTGCAATTCAATCCATGTGAGGTGACAAACTCACAAGATCATCAAGGGAAACAATAGCAACGCTCTCTAGAAGAATACTCAAAGGTTCTTGGGTCTCAAATCTCAAATCTGGAAGAGGTAACCCTAAAAGAATGCATCTAATAAGGTTTTAAACAAATAGGGTTGCAAAAATCGCTCGAGCTATGAGGCGGTGGAACAATAAGTGACTTTGCTTGAACGATAGAAAGTTTGCTCGAGCAGAGAATGAATCCTCCAAGTATCTCAGATCAAGTCTGAACTACTCGGCGAACCATTTCAGTGCTCGAGCATACAATTCACCACTCGGGCGGTCCATGAACAATGCTAGGCACAAACAATACAAATCAAATGTATTTGTTCGTGAAATTGACAAAATAAGAGACCTAACAGAATTAGTTGAGATTAACTTACTGAGTTAATTAAATTAATAATTTTTCCCTTAAAATTATGACACATGCTATTTATGTACATATTTTTCATAAATGATTGGACTAAATTGAGACAAAAATCATAAATTTAATGTCAAAATCGAGCCAATTAAAATTATGAGGATCAAAATGACACAATAATCAAAATATAGGAACTATGTCGTAATATATCCTAAATTTTACAAATATTAATAATTAAAATCTTAAATTTTTTCATAAATCTGTAATTATTTTTAAAAGTTTCACTAAATTATAATTTCCTCTTATTTAATTGGGTTATGGAGAATGATATATGAAATCGGATGAATTTTAGCTTCTTTTTTTTTCCACCTTTTTTTATCTCCTAAATCAATGTAACAAACATTATATATATATATATATATATGAACAACTCATCACATCTATAAAATAATCGGATTGACCATTATTTTTTAATCTGGTTGGTCCTTTTTCCTTTTCTCCTTAACAACTCATCACATTTATTAAATAATCGGATTGACCATTATTTTTTAATCTGGTTGGTCCTTTTTCTTGTCTCCTTATTCAAATTTATTCATTGCAATTGTTGAATTATATCAGAATTTTGAGATATAAGAATACCAAACCATGATTAGATAGATATGAGTGAATTGGGAGAGAGACGGTTGTACATAAATAGTGTTTTGTGTAGGAATGGCAATAAGGCGGGGCGGGGCCAGGGATCACATTCCCCGTCTTCGATCCCCGATCCTACAAAATTCCTCTTTCTCTTCCCTAACAGGGATCTGGTTTCCCCGACCCCGAAAAATCCCCGTAGCTCTGTGTGTGTGTGTGTGTTTAGCTTTCTCTCTCAATAATAAATCATCGACAACATTATCAACAATAACATTATTTTCATCAACAACATCATCAACAAAAAAAGAAAAAAGAAAAAAAAGAAATGGAGACAGACAGAGACACACACACACAAACATACATGAGATCTGAGTGGCGGGATCTTCTCAAATCTGAGATGTGAGATGTGAGAAAAAGGGAATCGACGGTGGTGGGATCTACTTAGATCTGCCGTGGCAAAAATCGATGCCGGAGTATGAAGGTTCGGCGGTGGCGTGGATGAGGAGAAGGCGAGGGTAACTGCGTACTGCCCCGAAGGAGGAGACGACGCCATTGCCAACTACGGAGAGAAGAGTGAGTGAGAGAGAGCCGTTGCCGACTGTGGAGAGAAGAGTGAGTGAGAGAGAGCCATCGCCGACTACGAAGAGAATAGAGAGTAGAGGGAAGAGAGAGAGAGAGAGAGAGATCAGAGGAGAAACGTAGGGGGGTTATATATATATATATATGAATGGATAGAGGGGTATTATGGTAATTTTATTTTGGGGAGAAACAGAGACCGGGCCCTGGACGGGCCGGGTCTAGGGCTGTAAAAGCTATCCCCGTCCCGGCTTGAAACTGATCGGAGATTCAATTTTAGATACCATTCCCGGTCCGTCGAGAGTATTTTTCGAGAAAAAACCCGCTCTTATCAGGGACGGGAGGTAGGTCTCCGTCAAGCTGGGTTCAAATTATCATCCCTCATTTTATGTGTTGATTCATGTAAGAGGTGAGAAATCCTAGTGAAATTTATTGGGTCTGATGCAACTTTTTATTTTATTATTCTTTGTACGGGGAAGAAATAATTCTCCTCGTATAATCCTGTTGACTAAGTCCACGCTCCTCCGTACGACGTCGCTTTGTCACCTGAAAACACAAACGTGAGCTAGCCGGCGGGTGTGTGCCGGAAACCTCTCCGATGCCTAAGTCAGAAAACTTGACAAATAGACAAAGCTCAATGTAATCAGGAAGCAAAATTGTATGTTGTGTTATGTTACCTCTCCCAAGGTGATGTTTTGTGAGCTTTTTATAGGTTTCGAGTGGCCCAATCCTAGTAGGACTTTTATTTCTCCATGCAGAGTCCTCCTAGGATTCATACTCCTAAAGGATAATGCTTATCCTTTTACACCCCCACTGCTTAAACCAAGTGGGATAGTTTTTACTATGGCTGAACTACCATATGACCGAAATAATACTGGCTATACCGAGCCACGGAGTAGGCCGTATTAACAATAGTTCGGTTCTTCTTCTTGCTACATCATATTTCGGTTCTCTCATGCACGAACCATGGTGTGGTTAGACCGATCTACCGAGTAGCAACATTCCGACCGACCTTCCCAAAATACATCATGGCCGGACTATCTCCGAGACCGGCCTTACTAGAAAAGTTGTACGGACCGAAGTAACTCAACATCTCTTCTGGGCCGAAGTAACTTTACCATTCCTGAACCAGAGTAACTTTCTTACTCTTGGACCGGAGTAACTTTTACATTTCCATTGGGCCTTTCTATCCAGTCCTTTATACTTTGGGTCATAAAGTCCATCTCTGTAGCTCGGCCCAATTTTTACCAAAAATTACCCTCTCATGATTGAAAAGTGCCCCAATAAAATTTTCTAGGTTTTCATGTCCTTTTGCAATAGATACTAAAGTTATGGTGATGTTGCAATTCATAGAAAAGATGTACTTGAAAATCCCACAAAAATAATATGATGGTGTTGCAATTAATAGCCATTTTTTTAAGGGTGTTTTGTTTTAAATTGTGATTTGGTCTGTACATTAAATCATTTATTGAGAGCATTTTCAATGTTTTATCAAATTTTTTTATTAAATTTGTGTAAAAATTTGATTTGATATCATCTACTCCAACAATTTTCATTAATTCAGTCGATTACCTAACTCATCACAAAATTCGATTGTCCGGAAGTACGTTTAGCCCAATGGCCACCTACAAATTTAATGAAAGGATAAAGCTTTCTTAATTTGACCAAAAAAATAACTCTCTGTATTTGATATCTATTTGATAAAACAATTGGAGCTAAGTTCTCTCCCTTTTTTTTTAATATCAAATTTGAATTTGATGAATGATTAGAGATGGCCTAAGGAGTTGTTTGGAAAGTTGTTGTTGTTGTTGTTGTTTTTTTAAGTCTAAAAAAAGGTATAAAAAAAATGTTACGAAAAAGTCATAGACAAACCGTCATTCATATTTTTTATACAATTAAGAAAAAAACATTTTTAAACACATTAATTTTCTTTCACTTCAAAAAAAATTAAGAATTTATTAATAAAATCAAACCCAAAATCACAGCTAAATTTTATCTAAAACAGCATCCCTCAAATCTCAGACCAGATGAGACACAATCCATGTGCAAAATGTGTTATTTATCTCTCTTTCCAACACAATAGGCAAGGGAATGTACACATCATGAACTGTTCACTACAACCACCAAAACCGATATAGCCAAATAATTTTATTTATTTATTATTGAGATAAGTTAAAGCTCAAAAAGCCAATTGGTAGTATTTTAATTGTGATTTTAATTCACTATAAAAAGAAAAAATTCAAAAAAAGAACAGATGTATCGTATTTTGAAGGAGATATTAATCTACCTTGAATATGCATGTATGTGTGATTTTAGATAATTAATTGATCCATAAAACCCCTGAAATTAATTTGACATTTTCCATGATTATTTTAAATATATTAGTCATGAAAATATTTTAAGTTGTAATAATGTATTTGTATATACATGCAAATGAACTAGGAAGCAATTTGAGAACTAAAAAGAAGGGTACTGTAAATACATCACCTCCAATAAAAAGAAAAGGAAAAGGAAAAGAAAAAATAGATAAAAGTGAGAGAGGAAAAAAGGAAAAAAGAAAAAAAGGTATAGCCAATTACCAAGCCTCAACAGACGGTGTGCTTGTAACAACTAGTTATGTTCCAAATAATAAAATAAAATAAAATAAAATAAAGTAAATTATACTTAGTAGTTGTTATATTTTTTGTTCTTATATTTTTTTAATTCTTTTAATTTTGATTAGCTCGATTTTGGTTCTCAATTTATGATTTCGTCTTAATTTGATCAAATTGTTAGTTATTTTATTGAAAATGCGTACATAAATGGCATGTGTTATATTTTTATATGTAAAATTGTTCAACTTAGTTAGTTAACCTTAACCAATTCAGTCACCGTTTGGCATTAAGTTTTTTAGTTTGCTTTTTTGAATTGAAACTTTTTTAGTTTGAGACTAAAAAGTTTGTTTGATTTAACTTTTTTGGTTTTTTTTTATTTTTGTGAGAGAAAAAGTGAAATGATTATGATTTGGATGTGACATTTTGTCTTATTGACTTATTTAGCCTATTTTGCCTTTCGTGTTTTTTTAGCCCAATTAGTTGCCGTTTGACATTGATTTTTTTAGTTAGCTTTTTTGAATTGAGACTTTTTTAGCTTGAAACTAAAAAGTTCATTTGGTTTGATTTTTTTGGCTTTTTTTTTTTTACTTTTGTAAAAGAAAAAATGAAATGATTATAATTTGAATGTGACATTTATTTTATTGGCTTATTTAGCCTATTTTGATTTTTGTGTTTTTTTAGCCTAACTAAGTTAGCCAAACAAAGGCCTAGTAATCATTTTTCTTCAAAAAACCTAATCAGCATAATTAGACTAAATTAGCACAAAATCCACAATTAATGATCAAAATCGAGCTAATTAAAATTATAGAAATCAAAATGATATAAGGAGCAAATGCAAAGAATATCAATGTACTTTTACCCCTCCTCCCAAAAAAAAAATTAAAAAAGAAAAGGAAATTGCCCCTTGGTGGGAACTTGAAAAAATTATTACATATGTATAAAAAAAATTATAATTTTAATTATCAATATTAATAAAATTTATTATTAATTTGTAAATAATTTTTTACACTAATGTGAAATTCCCCCTCTCCAAAAAAATCGGTGAAGCATCCCTCTCCAACTCTATGTAATAGAAGAGATCCAAGATATTATTTTTATTAAAGTCTCTCGATGAAATTTCCCTGTGATCATACCAGAGAAATTTCTCTGAGTCGGAAATTTTTTTTCAAAATCGAATTTTCTTTATGAAAATGTTGAGAGACCTTAACTATTATGAAAATATTATATGTCCTTTTTATTTTATAAAATCTTAATATCAAAAATTTTTAAAAAAAGAAATTCCCAAAAAACAATATAGTTTCACTTTACAACAGTTTTTAAGCTAAAAAAAGGTCAAGTTACTTGAACTTCCCTTTTACTAAAGAAAAGTCCATGTTTTGTTCTACCTTTTTCTTCTTTGGCCTTATTTGGGATGTGTTAGAATGACACATCTTTCTATTTTATTTGAGCCACATTACTTATTATTTGGATCACATTTCTCTATCACATTTCACATTTTTTAATATACTTATTTAGATCATCTCAAATAATCTCTTAATAAAGTCTCATCATAATATTATTTTAATAACTTATTTTTAATTATTATAAATGAATTTTTAAATTTAAACTTATGTTGCAATATAATTTTTCCAACATTTACCATTAAAAAATTAAACAAATACAGGGTGTGGGCTATGAAAATGAATATGAAATTTTTGTAAAACACAATTAATAGCTTCCTTAGGCTGCTATTCTTCTTTGTCCTCTTTTCGGCAGTCCACCAGCTTTAAAAAAGAAAAGAAAAAAAAAGAAGATGTTATTGGTTGTGTTCCTCGTGCGGGGAAACCAGTCCATGCCTTCTCATGTAAATAGAAAATTCGTAGAGAAATTCTATATAAAATAATATTGGTGAAATTGAACTTAATGGTCCCTTTAATTTGAGTAAAATTTACTTTGATCCCATTAGTTTTAACTCCATCAATTTAAACTTTATACTTTCAATTTTATTTCAATGAGATCCTTCTGTTAGTTCTTACTAATATATTGTATCCAAAAAAGCACAAGTGTCACCAAACTGAAATTCAAAAGAAACTATAAAGTTTATCAGTATAATTTTTTTAATTTTGTTTTTATTATGCTAGAACTCCTAAAATTTTCACATTTCTTTCGTCTGGACTACTAACGGCATTTGACAAAAAGACCACATTAAAATACAATTGAACATATAGAGTTTAATTGATAAAATTAAAACTATAAACATCAAAAGTGAAATTTCACTTTATCTTAATTTCAAACAGTAATTTTATGAAGACTACTTTCAATTGCAAAACTGTAACTATACCATCAATCTGATTATATTCAACAATCATGTAACATCCATCAATCCCTCCTCTTTCTCTCCCTCTGTGGGGTATAAGTTTCAAGGTAATAAATTAAAAACGAACTAACCAATTGATTGAGCTATATCCAAATTAGGCGGAAACGAAGAAAGTTGATTTGTTCCCCTTAAAAATGTGTTAAACAATAAAATGATGTCGTTTCTTTATGTAAACGGCCCATGTGCATTAGCGGGACCAGCAAAACTATAAACGGACTCCACAATGACTTGCTTTTGATTTCTTTAATTCCATCTACACCCCTTCCAAACCCCATCAATAATAATGTTGCATTATTGTACTCTCCACAAATAAAATTTGTTTTCTTTTTGGGACCCCAACTTCAAATAAATAACTTTCCTTGTACCCTTTTGTGTAGAGTACATAAAATAAATTGTATGATTCAGATTCATTTTCAAATTTAAATTTGAGTACTTGTCAATCAATCAAATTAATTAGACTTTTACCTATAGGTTTTAACTGATAAATTTATTTATAAAAACAAGAAAGAGTGATAAATTTATCATTTAATAAATTTATCAATAGGACTTAATGAGTAATAAGTTCAAAAAATAGGACCTACTGGTAATTTATAGGTCACTCATACGATAAATCTAATCTACTTATTTAATTTTGAGTCATTATAATTTATCTTTTGTGTCAATTTAGTTATATAATTCTAGTTGCATCAATTTTATTTTTAATTTTTGGTACATGGTATCAATTTAGTTAAATTGATAATGTTATTTTAAAGTACGATTAAGGGATTGACTTCCAATTTGAAATGGTCTATTTTTTTTAACCGACCAATACCCTTAATTTATATTTATTTTCTTAATAAATGGTATTGATTGGACTAAATTGATACAATGTAAAAAATTAAAAATAAAATTGATACAATTAAAATAGTATAGACAAAATACGGAGAGCATGTGTAGAATTTGCTCTTTAACTTTCTATGCACATTTTTTATATTCGTGGACCCAAACACTTTATGGTTACCTCATTTTAATTTTTTTTCTTTGGAGACAAGGAACCCCTAAAAGAAGGGCACTTTGTGAAACAAATTAACCACAATGAGTTGTATAAAGTAACTTTATAAGGGGGTAATTAGTTAGGAACCAAAAGGTGCCCTATGAGGAATGCCCTTTCTCCTCCTTGCATTAGGAGGTGGTGGAGGTGGGGGTGGCATGGGTTGGGTGGGTATATGCATTGTGGTGAGTCTTCACCCAATTCTCCTTCCTCTCCTGTTGATGATGACGATGCCAATGACGATATGACTCTCCTTGACGGCCCTTCACCTCTCCTAATTTCCATAACTTCTTCATTCTTAGCCTCTAAAGTAAAGCTTGCATTCCCATTTCTCTTTATTCCCACAAGCTAAGTCATTAAACCCACAAAAAACAAAAAAAAAAAAAAAAACACAAAAAAAAAAAAAAAAAAACACAAAAAACAAAGCAAACAAGACAGATTAAAAAACCATTAAAGCAAAAAACTCATTTGGGGCAAATAGTTAACATGTGATGGTGATGATGATAATGATGCATCATGGCCATTAGTGGTGGGTTTGTGTGATGAAAACTATGGTGATGGTGAAGGTTTGTGAATGTGGGTCATGATTTGAGCATATATGGTGTGTAATTAGTAATGAGCATATGATTGGTTGTGGTTGGATGAGAATCATAAAGATGATCATCATCATGGAGTTACAATGATGTTGATGGGGATGATTTATGAATGTGGATCATTATGGTGGATGTTGTGCATTATGGTTGTATTGGTTTGGAAGGATTAAAGGGTGTTTAAAATAGGGATCTGTGGGTATTAGAATTTGTCTTCCAAAAAACTCATAATCCTTTATTGAATTCATTATTGAGAAAAGTTAGGAATCATGAAATTTTTTTCATGAAAATGATCATGAAAGATTTATGACCCTTGAATTACCTTGATTAGTGTGTGGTGTTTTATGTATAATCCAAGGGTCACAAAACTTTCATGATTATTTTCATGAAAGATTTTTCATGATATGTAGCATTGCTGTTCATTATTATGCGTTCGTTTCTCATATCGTGACCTCGTTGGAATTATTACCGAATCTCATTTTCCTAGGACAACTAATCACTTTTTGAATTATCTTCCCTCTATAATTTAACAATCAAAACAATCCCTCAAATTTTATGATATTTTGTTTATGAACTTGTCTACAAATCCAAAAATAAAAATAAATAAATAAATGATAGAATTTACCTAAAATTTTGAATCAAATGTCAAGATTTATTTATACAATGACCCCACAACAAAACAATAAAACGTACACCATAGATCTGGAATCTGGATCAAATTTTGATTTCCTTTTTTCTGGTTTCATAAATTTTTCGATTGTTTATCCCGCTCAAACTAAACAATCACATTATATATATAATCTCATTTAATAATTTTATGAAATTAAAGGGACAAAATAAGACTAATTAGATGGAAGATGGGTTATGATATGACCATTATGATGAGTTGTGATGGATGTGAAGCAAGTGATCCAGGTTAAAATTAGAATGCTAACCTTACACCCCAATGAACAGAATCGCAATGGATCCAAGAGGCTCCTCCCACAGATTTCACAAATGTGAGAAACTCCTTTCCCACTACTACTCCTTGGCTGAGGCCTCTCATTCAAAAACAACACCCTTGCACTGTTTATCACATAGGTTTGAACTCCACTTATCTCCAATATCTTCTCTATCTCGGAAACCCTTACTACATCATGATATGAAGATCTCCTTATCTACCACAAACAACAAATGAAAATTTCAAATTAAAAAATAATAATAATAAGGTAATAATGCGAGTGAGATATTTGTATCCGAATTCTTATGTCACGATATTCTTTCAATTTCATAGATTCTCATGCCTGAAAATGTATTAGGACAGCGAGATTTGGATAAAGAATTGAATGTCACGATTAAAAATGAAAAATCAAAATAAAATTTGATATAAAGTATAATCGTATAAATTGTAATTTACCCAAAGTCTAATAATGCAAGTGACATATATGGGACAATATCATCTGCTCGGTGCGCTTTCAGTCACATCTTGGAAATTTAGTTACAGAAGATCCTAGTCCGTGACATAGAATTTTAGGCAATGATCGCATTGCCGACATGAAATATATATGTATGGTTATATTAGGGTAAGCAAAGCAAAAAAAAACCCACCTGAATAACTTGATGATCTTTATGATTGGATGAGCGGCAATAGAAGCAAAATGAGTCTCCACCATTGCAGTCCAAGCAGTACATGTTGCACTCACTCCTGGCTGAGTCTCTGTGAGTCGGGCACACAGAGAAGAAGGCAGTGTTTAGCAGTGGTTCTAGCCATGGTGGAACCGGCATTGTGTCCTCCTGGTTGAACCCAAATGAGAATGGAATTGATGAGAGATCAAGGATAGAACATTTATCATAATTCTAGAGAGAGGGTTGTATAAAGTGAGCTAATGAATGTGTAATTAGCATTACCTTAAAGAGAATTGGATGGGCTGAGATGGGTTGTGGAGCAATGTGAATGTCTGTTAGATTTTCTTAATGAAAATGGAGAATTTGCAGAGCGAGATGAAAATGGAAGAGAGAGAGAGAGAGAGGAGACTATCTGGGCTAGAACAAGTAGACTATAGAGGACAAGGCTGGTTAACAAATTTGCGTAGCTTTTACGCAATCAACGGCCGAGATAAAGGGTGGTGACTGGGGTGATTGTGGGCCGTCTGATTAGAGAAGATAGAAAGAGAGTGTTTGGCGCTTTAACGCATGTTTGGACCTTGTTTTCGTCAAGACTTATCGTATGGGCTATGAGGTGAGGTCAGCCACCAGGCTACGCCTTCTAGCTGTCCTCTTCAAAATTATCCACGTAACTCACCCCTCACAAATCAATGTGAATTTTGGATTCTCTTTAATTTAATGTAATTTGTAGTATTTTGAAGTGAAATAGTGAAATTAAAATGATGTTTTTTTATTAATTAAGTCTGCATGAAAATATTAAAATAATGTTGTTTTTAATTTTAATTTTAAATTTTAATTTTAATTTTAATTTAAATTTTAACTCTTAATTTTTTTTTCTTTTTTCTAAGTATCATTTTATCATTTAAATTATTACATATTGCATTTCAAAAAGTGTATTATTGAATATTCAAATTCATAATGATGGTCTATAGATTAGGGATTTACATTGTAAAGAAAATTGTAAATACGTAAAATTCATACACATAATCGAATATAATTTTCTCACATAAAATGAGGTCATTAAAAGTGTGGTCTCACCATTGTTATTTTAGTAATGAAATTTGACATCCAGGGATAAAAAAACTATTCTTTTGGCGTTAAAATTTTCGTTTAAATTTTTTTTTTCATGAACTTATTTTGTCTTTAAAAAATGTTTGTATCAGCGGCATTTTTGAAATTTTGTTATTAAAGGTCTTTTTTTTTTCTTCCTGAGATAATCTATTAGTGACAATTCTCATAACAATAATGATTTGGTCTCTTAATATTTTTTTGCAACAATTTTTGCTTTTAGAAATTTAAAACTCTTATATATGTAATGTATACCAGTAAAAAAATTGTTTTGTGAAATGAAATAGAAGCCAGCTAAAAATTTTGAATTACCAGATATACCCTTAAAAGATTGGGAAACTTTACAATAGTTGTGCCATGTAGGAGCTATTTTGGTCATAAATATGAAAATTTATTGGTGTTACATTAATATGTTATAATGGTGGTTGTGAGATCAAACTCCATATGAAATGTTAGGAATGATTCCCTTTTCCTTTTCCCCTTAGACCTAAATTAAAGAAGGTTCTAATGATCTAACGAATAGTCAAAAATAAATACATAAAATAAAATAATTGGTAAAACATTACTGTTAAATTTCTCATGTCTATTTATAATTGACTTAAAGTCAACTATATAACCTACATCACAATCACACATGCGATATTTTAAAATTATCAAATAATTTCTCCATAAATATAGGCAACATGTCATGTTGGAAGAGAAATTTATAATTTTTAACTAACCAACGAATTAAATAATTCAATTAGTTCTTTTAACGATAATTAACAAAATCAATTTCCAATTTAAGAAAATCAATTTATTATAAAATTGGCATATTCTTACAACAATAGTTGTCGGTATCATAAAGTTTGTAGCTATTGTGGGTTACAGCATTACAAATAAGTTACACAGCTCCCAACTTTGCCTTGATCTCGACCGTTGATTTTATGGACCATTAGGTGTTATATAAAAAAATAAATAATAAATAAATAAAAGAAAAGGAGGCCCACAATTTGATAAAATCAATAATCACTGTCAAGGATTATTATGCAATCTGGATTAGTTAGGATGTTAAAAGCATCACACTATTATTGCAACCATTGAAAATTTATGCTATTATATGACATGATATAGGGTGGGACCTATATTATAGGTTCAGAGTATTGTATTTGATGTACAAGGCATTCTTAAAGTTAAAGATACTAACACTAGAAATTAAACATTATTCTTGGTTACTTCAATTATAATACTCTTATATATCATTTCTCAAGTTTTTTTTTACCAATAATATGTTCTTTGAATCTGATTATGCAACAGAGAAGTGATTTAAGATAAAAGGACAATTGAGATGAAGATAAGAAATCTAATCTCATTATCAGCACCCCGACTCTATAAAGGTGATGTCTTTAATTTTTACATACAATGTTTCTTCATCTAAAAGATTCACAAGATCTATTGAAAATTACCTTCTTGCATGACAAATTTTATTATAATAAAAAAAAAGGCTTGCTAAATACTAAATTCTCAAAATAAATTTATTGGTAAGGTTGTTGTAATCAGTTTCTAAACTTAGATCGACTTAAAGCGATGAGCATTCCAAGAAAGGTTATTTAAAATGTGAAATGTATTTTTGTCTTTTGCTTTTTTACCACCATACATTTATTAACATTAATCCCACTAGTCACTATCTTGTGTTCACTCATAAGAAATTTGGTAAAAAAATTTATTTATGTATTTGCATATTACATTTTTACACTAATTGGTTCAAATGGTCGAGCGGACCTTATTTAAAGCTGTAATTATCTCTTGCATTAATCAATTAGAGAAGAAGCTATTGTTCGTCCAACTTTTAAGTGGGTGTTTGTACCTAAATTTTTTAATTTGGCATCTACAAAATAACACGTGTGATTGGAGCACATTTATCTTATTTAAAAACACATATTTATTTAATTTTTTTTAATACAAGTTGCTTGGGCAATACACGTGTCAATTGGAATTTAGGCATTAAATCTTTTAATTTGTAGCTGAGTTATGTAATTCAAATTCTTGAATTTGAGATAATTATTATTTTGAGTTACTTTTGTATTTTTCCAAAGAAGTCCTTACAATTCATCACCTTAGCTAGTTGGAATTTAGGCACTAAATCTCTGTCAATTGTGACTTGGCAATTTTTTTACTAACAGTGAGTGAATAAAATCAGGCTCGCATATTATTCTTTTTCAATTGAACCCTAAAATGATCATTGCAAGTGGGCTTTATGTGACATGCAAGGTTGGCAACATGGGAACGTGCATGACAATATGTACTTTCTTTAGGAGCAAGTTCCCCTATTAGCTAAGATTGCATGTTCTCTTTATTATGATTTGATCATTAAGCTAATGTTATCTTATGATCTAATTTTAATCCAATTAAGTTGGCATGGAACGTGGCTCGGTATGCTGCCACATGGTTTGGTTTTGGATTACGAAAATTAGATAAATAAAACAATACCCACAATTTATATTTTGTTCTTCACATTTTGGGTCATTAAGTTACAAATTTAAATCCATCAACCCAAAAATAATAATAATAATAATTTATAAATTTAACTGATTTGCATGAACTATATATCAAAAATGGAAATAAAATCCTAAGTTAGTATGGAATCCTATATCCCTTTGGCATACCATATTTGGGTTCAAATAGTCACAAAAAGATAAATATACTAAAAAGTCAATAAAACAAGATATCACATTTAAACTATAATCATTTTATTTTTTATCTCACAAAGATCAAAAAAGTCAAAAAACTCATTCCAAACAAGGCTTTTTAGCCCCAGGCTACAATAGTCAAAAAACCAACACACATCCCAAACGAAAGCTAAATCATATTTTTGAGATTTTTATATTTAGAGATTCTCATGAGATTTAACAATTGTGCGCTTTTTTCATATAGAAAGATATGACGATTTAGAGATAGAGAATCATTTAGTCTTTGTTTTGTAGAATATGGTTCCTTTCTATACTACTATCTTCATACTCCTCTATTGTATATTTTACAAGTCTCATCCCAAGTACATAATGATGATCCAAATTATTTATCTCGTGAACCTCACAAGGAAGAGCATTTATACAAAAAATTAGCTTTATCGAATATTGATGAATAGATGAACAAATCGTATTTTGTTTTATAAAAGAAATATTTTAAATTCAAATTCATAGTTGTCATCTATTTAAAATAAAAATATATAATTTAGTTATATGTCTAGTGATGTCAATGAAATTAATTTTTGGACAAATTACCTACACCTCCCTTGAGGTTTAATGAAATTATAGATTCCCTCCTGAGATTTCAAAAATTACATCCCACTTCATCGCAATTAATGCCGTTAATAGATATCATAAATTGACTAAAATGACCTTTTAAAAAATAAGGGTAAATTACCTATACCCCCTTGAGGTTTAGCTAAATTAGAGATTCTCTTCTGAGGTTTAGCTAAATTACAGATTTTCCCCTGAGATTTAGCTAAATTATTATTTTTAAATAAGTTATGAAATGCAAAATTAAAATGGAAAAACACTTATCACATTGCAAAAAATTAAAGTTTTAGAGACCAAAATTTAGAGACAAAATTATTTTAGGAGACAAAATATTTTTGTTGCGAAAAGTGTTGTTATTATATTTTTAGCAACGAAAATTGAATATTAGTGACATTTTCGGAATTTTATCGTTAAAAGCCTTATTTTTGACTTTTCAGGGCGAGCTTTTAGCAACTATCCTCATGATGATAGGAATTAATCCCTAAATGTCTTTTGCAACAAAATTTTCACTTTTAGAGATCAAAAAAATTAGTCTCTAAAACTCTTATATGTTGTAGTGTCAGATGGTGAAAATATCATAAAATTAACAAATAATTAAATAAGTTAAAAACACAAGAAATGACTTGTCAAAAAATTCTTAAAATATATTTGGTTTGATTTTTAGAAATTTATTTTTAATTTTTTATTAATTTGGTTAAGATATAAAAAATAAAAAATTATTATTATTTTTATATAATTTTATCTTTTGAGTGGTTAGAAATAATTTTTACAAATTAAATATATTTTTTTATATTTATTTTTATTATTATTATTTTTTTTAAATTCTTTTTTTTTTCTAAACAACTTTTTTTTTTTTTCCATTTAACGTAATTCTTTTGTAACTTTTGTTGATTTATCAAAGGGATTTCAACATGAGCAATATCGTCCATCAATTTATATTTTGATGATGTCAGCTAACTATTCTTAACGTTTAGTTAACGGTATGGGTTAAATTGTTATGCGAATATAAATCTAAGAGGGCGGGATGTAAATTCTGAAACCTCAAAGAGGAATCTGTAATTTAGCTAAACCTCAAGGGAGGTGTAGGTAATTTTTCCTTAATTTTTTGTACAACTCATCTTTACAATTATGCTTACGAGATGAACAGTTCAA